CGTAGCAGTCAGGTCAGCAGTAAGGGCCAAACAAGGGACCTCCAAGGGGCATTAGGAGAAGGAGTTAGAACAAGCACAACTTCAGGCTTCCTGCATTCCAGATTTCCAAGAGCTGAGCCCTTGGCGTACTCTCCCTCAGCTACTGACACAGCTCCAGCAACTGAGCTCTTTAAAGAACCAAATGAAATTACAGCAGCATGGTCCTCTTCTCAGGAACCAACAACCCAGATTATGTACAATGCCAAAGTGGCCTGTGGTGGAGATGGGCCAGAGATGAGTGAGGTAAGGACAAGCTCGGAGATGACAACATCCTCCAGGTACAGGGGAACACGTGGCATCTTCAGGCTGATGGTTACGTGAGTGTTGTGGTCTGGAGTTACGGTATCTGTATAATGTGCACTCACAAGGTCTGGTGAGTGCAGGAGCCAAGTGGACGACAGGAGCATGATCAGAGCATGCCAAAGCCCTCGCAGCCCTCACTGATGGCCAGCTGCAGCATCCTGTGCACCTCTTCATATGAGTCGTACGTAGGGAGGCACAGCTGGTTAAAACTGCAAAGGCAAGAGAGAAGTGATTAACTCATACCACCAACACACTGGCAAGAGCTGGAAAAGGCAGTCCCAAGGGCAGGCGTTGAGTGATCCACTACCTACCACGTGTGTGCAGTAGGCAGCGTGCTATGGGTTGGAGCAGCAATAATCTGGAATGAGGGGCAGAGGGCAGCAAAGCCTCCAGGTGGTAGCTGAGAGGAGCCTGTTGTGAACTGAAGCAGCCGAGCCAACTCCTCCTGGGTCAAACTGGAAACCACAGTCCAAAACCATCTCATGACCTGGCAGGGAGAGTACAAGGTTGGGGTCAAATACAGCGTGCAGCCTAGGATCTGACCCCTGAACGGAGGTTCATGTCCCAGCAGCAGCTCTGGGGACACAGGTAGGGAAGATTAGTGTCGACAAACGCTTCAGGAATTTAGATTGTTGCTCCATCAGAAAGATAGGTGCTGACTGCTAGGTTCTACTGTTTAACATTTCCAATGTACTACTTCTACTGCAGTCAGCACAGCAGCCTTTAGAGATGAGGGTATCATTATATCTGTACAATCACTTTTTATTTAGTCCCCAGTAAACATGTCCAAATTTCTTTTTCTTTAAGGACTTTTAAGACATGGTACAAAGCCAATTGTAAGGAATGTGGCTCACTCATCTTCTCTCTGAAATGCCATGAACCACCAACCACCACTGCATGGGCCCTGAAGTCAGACACACTGATGTCCCCAGTCCCACACATCAGCAGCTAGAGAAAGGCAGTCAGGTGTTATGAGGACTGTTGGATGGACAGACCCAATATATAAAGTCAAAATGGTCTATAATAATGTGCAAAACAGGCAGTTCTGGTGGCCTACTAGAAAGAAGTTATACTGCCAAACTAAAAGTTCATGGTTTGAGTTCACCAGCTGCTCCATGAGAGAAGTTCCCTCCTGTGCAATTTACAGTCTCCGAAAACCTGCTGGAAGGCCAGCTAGTTCTGACTCAACAGCAAAGTCACAACAACGTGTTGTAAATATGGAATAGAGAAAAATGTCAAGAAAAAGTCAAGTTATAATGTCAGAATAACACTTTAAGAAAATGAATTCTATTCACCAGATGCTCTGCTGGGGAAGGAGGGACAATCTCCTCCAGTACCAGTCAGATCCAATTGGCCAGTACACACACACAAATTACTAAAATTTTAAACATTTTAAAAAAAGAAGGAAAATGAATTCTAGGGGAGAACCAAGATGGTGGCGCAGAGGAAACAACGTGAGGAGCTGGATAAGCAGCAAGCTGCACAGAAACGGGCCACCATGGCCCTCAGTCCTCAGTTTATCAGTAATTGAACCATTAAACAGGTGATTACTGGTCTTCAATATGGATCAAGGCTCAACATCATTAGGACAAAGATGCCCAAAAAAAGAATGGGTGAGTCCCATAGCTTCCAGCCCCCCACTGCCAAGCCCCTGCTGCTGCTGCCGCCACCACTCCATAGAGCCTCCGCAGCTGGACCCCAGGGATCTCCTCACTTGGGATGGACGGTAGGAACCAGGCCACGCAGCTGGTATGACAGAGCCTCCATACTGCTGCAAAATAAACTCATTCTAAAATTAATTCTCAGAACCAAGATGGTGGTGACAAGAGAGGCAACGTGAGGAGCAGGAAGCCCGGTAAAGCCACACTGATAGGCCACGTAATTTATAAATACCCAAACAGCCAAGTAGTTGACTATTGGTCATCTATATCGACTGAAGTTCAACATCAAGAGGACAAAGAGTCTCTTAAAAAAAATTGATGAGTTCCACTTCTGCCCACTACCCCCACTGCCAAGCCCACACTGCCATGACCCCATGGGGTCACCGTGGCCGGAGCCTGTAAGTCCCCTAGCTTAGACCGGGTGGTGGGTAGTGGGCCCAGAAGCTGGTGTGACAGAGCCCCAGCATGGCCAGAAGCTGTGGATGGGAAGAGCTGTGGGCCCCCAGCGCGGGAGCAGAGGCAGCAGCGGCAGCCACATGAAGCCACAGGAGGTGAAGGACTTGATACAGGAAAATATCTCTCTGTCAGTGAAGAAGACTTCCTTGGACAGGTCAGAGAAGAAAAGAAGATCATCAACACAATGGATTGATAAGGTGTGTGTGGCAATGGGCTCAAGCATGTCTCAGATTGTGGGGATGGTGTAGGATGGGGCAATGACTTGATTTGTTGTTCACAGAATTGTTGAAGGATCTCTGTGGGTCTAGTGGATAAAAAGCTGTATTACCAAACCAAAGGTCAGGAATTTTAATCTGCGGCCTGCAGGCCTGATTTTGATTTTCAGTTAAAACACTCCTCTAAGTAATATATCACTGCTCTGCCAATTAGCTATACAGAGGTAACTTGTGGGTGCTGTAAGGCTAAACACTGTGACACTGAACTGACAAATGTGATTATGGTTACCCATGGTGGACAGTGTCTAGTGGAGTTCCCAGATTCAAACAATCTTGGAAGCAGAAGTGACATCCACTTCCAAAATAGCTTGCCTCAATAAACTCTACGAACTTGGAGGAATGAAGAAAGTTATACAAGTATTGAGATCTTTCACTCATAGGGTCGCTATGAGTTGTCTATGACTCAACAACACTTAACAACAACATATCCGAGATGGCAGATCTCAATACATCACATCTTTTCATTTCCTGACAACCGCTGCCAAGAACTGTGTAGACTTAGGGAGGGTCTGTTCACCACTCTCAAAGCCCCTTCTCCATTTGTAAAGGGGGAGGGTAGTGATTCCTACTTCAAATTGCAGTCTGATCACTTGGTGGAGGGGAGGGGGGCAATGGGAGTGATGGTAGTGCCGGAACTGGGGATGCTGCCCTGGCCATGGTCTTCAGTGAGGTACAGGGTCCAAACCTGGGGGTGTCTTTGGTAGGGGGATATGCCATCTGGCCCATAGGGAGAGTTGTCTGGCCCCAGGTAGAACCTTTTGGCTCCTGGGGTGAGCCATTCAGCCCAAAGAGTAAGCTGTTTGGCCCCCAAGGTGTGCTGCCCAGGCCCAGGGAGACTTGGTCCCTGGGGTGAGCTGTTTGGCCCCTGGGATGTGCCATTCGGCCCCTGGTGTCAGCTGTTCAGAGCTGTTCTGCCCTCGAGGTGGGCTGTCTGGCCCCTGGAAAGAGCCTTCAGGCTGCTGGGGAAAACTGCCTAGAGTATACAAAGAATTTTATCTAAGCAACTTTCCTCTACCTCCTCCCACAGTACACCTGTAAGTAATACCTCCAAAGCCCTTCTATTTGTAACTCACAAGTTTGTTCTATCTCAGTTTGCTCCCTTTCCTATAGGTAACCTTAACACTGAGTTTTGCTCCAGACCTGAACCCTGAACCCAGTTCCAGAGACAAAAGGGAAATATAACTGCCAGCTAAGAAAGTGAAGAAGGATAGAGAGCCTCAGGGCTCAGCCAGCCATCCCCACTGGACTCACCTTGGCAAACACTTTGCAGTCCAGAGGGCAGTAAACATCAGGAAAATATCTTCTAACTGAACAAGAAGGCATGTGGCTTCAAACCAGGACCACCACGAAGGTTTTAAAGTGGGCTCCCTAAACCCCCTTCAGCATGATGAAGCCAGAGAGTCTGCACCCCATTCCCAAATGAGAAACCCAACAAGTGAATAAGACATTTTTTTGTTAAAAAAAAAATTAATCACCATTGGACTATGCTTACCCTTACACTTCTAGTCCCCACTGGATCTTTCTAATTTCCTTTGTCTACTCCCCACACCCACCAAATTGTGCAGCCCTGTGATTTCATCCCTGCCCATATTTGCTTTTCTGCTCCCAATCCTCATCCCTTTGTATCTCCATACATGCTTTTTACAATAATAATATTTTTTTTAAAAAAGGAAATGAATTCTAATAGCTAACAGTGGGAGGAAACGCATCTAACTTTTGAAAGCTATAGATGTGCCTGGATCCTAGTTAAGCTCTATGGTCTCAGAATCTCTAGAAGTACAGTACAAGCGTGTGTTATTTTGATATTTTCTATGAGTGTCCCTAGGGAGCTCTGGTGGCCTAGTCATAAGAAGCTGCCCTGGAATCCCAAAGGCATGTGGTTCGAATCCATTAGCTGCTCCATGGGAGAAAGTCACGCAACCTCCTCCCATATGATTAAACTGCCTCTGAAAAGTCAGTTCTAATTCCAGGGCACACCGCAACAACATGAATATCCTTAATTAAGAATGGCTGCTGTGGATGGTTTTTAATTGAAACAATGAGCAAAAAGGAACCTAGTGTTTCCTGCTCATCTGCTCTGGACTAAGCCTGAGAATACTAGGGAGAAAAGGCAGGTTCTCTTCCACAGAGGGGGACCCCAGCTCCACTGATGGATTTGCCAGATGGCCCTCCCCCCCCCCCACTGATCCATCCCTTTCTGGGATTGAAAATGTACTACCTTTAATTCAGCTGTGCTGAAGATTTGGAATCTACTTGATCTGGAATCTACTTGATTCCAAACAAGAACATTAATGACATCAGAACCCTAAGCATCTTAATAGCCTAATTTGGTTCAGGACCCAGCATGCTACTTAGTAGACTGTTTGGTCCAATAACTATAAAGAATAATACATGTGAATGAGAGAAAAGCAAATCTCACATCAAGGCTGAGCAGCTTTGGCTCCTTCAAAAGGAACTTGCTAATAAGCTCATGTGTAATTAAGAGCAGGGCATGGAACAACCATACAATACTAAGTCCTTCATTTCTACTCACTTTAAAAAACTATTACAAATGCTTTACTGTATGATTAGACAATTATACACCAGCAGCTGCTCTTCAGCCCCCACAAAAACAACACTGAAAAAAAAAAAAAGAAAGAAACACACCAGCACTAGAAATGCTACCAGAAACTTTATGAAGGCTGAGGTATGGGGCAGACTGGACTTCATATCAGAAGATACCACATGTGATGAAAACGGAATAGGACATTTGCTAAGTTCTGTGAATAAGAATAAAAACTGTGCAAGACCATAGGGATTTTTGCCCTCCAATTTTTTTAAAAGCAGTATCTCCCCCATGAAACAGGTCTGTAGAAACTCACTCATTGGAAAGGTTATGGGAAGTTAAAAGTAATTGTTTGCATTACAGTATCATATGTGAACAGCAAGCAAAGACATACAGGTTTTCTTTTTTTATCCACATAGGAGATGGACTTAATTCTGCTAATCATAAAATGGTATTTATCATATTATATTCAAGTTTTGTTTCTTATAAGATTTGAAATAAGACTATATATTATCTATATAATGTTGTGATCCAACATGCAATTTTCAAAGCTGAGCACAACTGTTTGTTTCTTCTGCGTTCTAGAACTGAGCTCCAGGTCAGGGGCTCTGTTTTGGTCACTGCTATGTCCCTCACTGCTTCAAACATACTTGGCACAGAGGAAGAACATAATAAATATTTCTTAAACAAATAAACTCCATCAATCTTTCATTCCTCTACCAGTAACAATAATATTTTATTAATAAATCAATATTACTATTGAATATTTGCATATTGATTGAACATTACTATTAATTTTTATAAGTAGTAATTGTCGCGTACTGTTGAGTTGGAATCAACTCATAGATGACCTTCAACTTGGTTTTCAGAGGCAAATAATAATTACTGTCACATAATTTCCTTTAAAAATCCATATTCATAAACTATTCATAAGCAGCTATGCCTTAATTTTTCATTTTCAGATTCTCATTAGTTAAAGAAAAGGTCAATGAATGGAAAATGATAAAAGTAAAACCAACTCTTGCATAAAGGGTTTCCCACAACTCAAAATGCAAGACACAACAAGCTGGTCCACTCCCCAGCAGCACATGAACACAATGAGTCAAAAAGAGGAGTCTGTACTTCAAGTTCATTCTCATAAAAAATAGCCAAAAGGTTTTCAGGGACAAAATCAATTCAGGCCTAAAACAAAGCAGCCAAGTTAAAAGTCCTAGCTATACAATGAATACACTTATTTCCATTTCAAAGTCAAGAACAGACAGGGCCCCTCACCTTTTAGAAAATGTTCCACCTCCCCTTTCTCTTGACCGACCAGATGGTACTGGGCCAGCAAATTTAAATAGAAGATTTTATTTGCATTGGTGACTGGGATTTGAGCTCCACCTGTCATGAGTTCCACAACCTGACATAGGAGGCAAAAGACAGGGAGAGGCTGTGGATAGAGTTTTCAAGATGTTCTCTACTTGGTGTGGTCCACAACAGCATTACTAAACTTCATCATAGTGTCAATGACAAGTTTCTGCTGCTCTTTTTGGCTTTTTAACATGCTTGGTTTTATTTAGTTACTAAACTTTAAGGTTCCTATCACTCTTAGAGTACTCTACTAGTTATTATTTCTCAAATGAGTATTTGAATGAATTCTTCGTATTTGAATGAATTCTTCTTGGACCTGGACAAATAGCAGCAATGCAAAAAAAAGAAAAAAGATACTGTAATTTCTTTTTCATCCAGGATTAAACCACTACTGACACTTCAGTAAACTCTGAGTAAAGAAAGCCAGACGAGCAGTCAAGGAGTTTTTTTAAGACTTATAAGATGGGAAGAGCTGTTCCTTAACATCATTTTATTATCATGTAATCAGTGGGAGAGTCACAGCTTAAAACTGAGACATCCTGGCTGAGTCACTAGAATGGGACTTCAGTCACAAAGCCATCTAGATTCCCAATTTTCCTAAAGAAAAAGCCATTCTATATAAATGGAAATTAAATGGCACACACTGCTAATTAAATAATCCTAAGTGACCCTGAGGAAGCTCTAAAACATAGTTTAAAGTCACTACCCCTAGATGATCTGTGTACTGTGACCAGAGTTGCCTCCACAGGTGAAGAAGGTCAGTTCAGAGCTGTGGCTGTTGGAGAAGAGCAATGAACATCCCATGGACGTCCAAGAAGACGAACAGATAGGTCTTAAAGAGGGTGCAGCCAGAGTGCTCTTTTGAGGAAAGAATAATAAGGCTTCATTCACCTCACATACATTGGACAGGTTGCTAGGAGGGGTTATTCCTTGGAGAACGACATGATATTGGGAAGGGTGGCGGGTCGGCAAAGGAGAGGAAGATCCTCAACTAAGTGGACTGACATGATGACTGCTACAATGCGCTCTTGTGTGTCAGGAAGTGTGAGGATGGCGCAGGAGAGGATCACTATGAGTTATGCTTGACTTGACAGCACCTAACGACAACAACATGGTCAGGGTCAGCCATGCATCAGTTCCGACTCAATGACACAATACAATAACAATTCAATCATGAGATTTTTAAGGTCCTACAGACACCAAATTAGAGAGTTCTTTAATCCAGAGTAAGGATTTCTCAACACATCCACAAGTGCATAATCCTGGTATTTTTTTATTGTTAGGCACTATTCTAGACACTTAAGTTATGTTGTTATGCATTTATATCTAAGAAGTAAATAAAAATCCACACTCCCTTGGACCTGAGGACCTTAACTCAAACTCTTCTGTCTAACTTCCTTGCCAGGTCAGAAAGGCAGAAAGCTAGGTTCCTGTATCTTCAAGAGAGAGAGCTCATTATCTTTTAAGAGTTATTGGGTGCTTTGAGATGGTCACAAGTTTTGAATCATAGCTATTTTGTTTTTAATTACCTATTACTCCAACCTTAGATGATCAGTACCATTTTGCTCAATCCCAACATCTAAAGAAATCACATTTGTATCAGCAAAACTTTTAGCCAGCAATTTTCTCTTACCAGGTTTTAAGATAGGTAGGTATTGTGTTCCAAACAGGAGTCGCTAACATTCTCACTGCTGATTTGAATGTAGACACCTCTGAAATCTAGTGCACATTTTACTAAGCACACATTATCAGTTAGCTTTCTTCCTACTAGAACATAATATAGATAGATGGTCACTTGTGTCAGCTGTGCAATTGAATGCTTTAGAGATATACTGTCCAGTGTGACAGCCCTTAGCCACATATGTATGGTTAAAGTTATTACAATTAAATAAAATTTTTTTAGAAGTCTGTTTTTTGGTCGGCACAAATATAGAACATTTCCATCACTGAAGGAAAGTCTCTTAAGGCAGCACCATCTAGTCCTCGCTCTCACTTTATCCAGCTGACCTGATTTATTGTATTTCTCCTCTGCAAAGACCAGCTTCATCTCACTCATGTCATTGTTGAGGATGAAACAAACTTTAGATTTATAGAATTCTGGGTCATCTGTTTCAAAGTACTAAGGAGATAAAAAATATACAGAACAGACCATAAATACTCTTGCTCAGGAGGACATTTATAACTGCTTTCAACCTTAACAATAAGAAGCTCATCAGCTCAAAGCAAAGGACAACGGGGAGGATATCCAAGGAAGATGCTCTCTCACAGAAGCCATGGTGGAGCACCGTGGACATTTTCTGGAGCCACTGGAATTTTGCATGGATGAGCAAACGGAAGAGCAAATCTTTGGCACAGGCCCTTCAGACAAGTTACTTTGCCAAAGTGAGGAGCACAGCTGCACCCTTTTTCATCTAGAACAGTGGTTCTCAGCCTCAGGTCAGACTCGTGTGATGAAAGTAGGACCAATTCCAGCAAGGAGATGGCTGCTGAAAACGGTCCAATGTTTGGAAAGCTTGGACTCTGTAACTCGGGCCCAAGGTTTGGAATGCTGAAGGCGACCTGCATTCACTTCCTGTCCAACAGTCTCTGGAGGGGCCAACAGTGAGTGTCACTGGCTAGCAGAATAGGGGATTCCTCCTACCTTGGGCAGTTCAATAACATCTCACCACCATATACTTCAATGTAAGAAATGGTTTACCCCAAAAAACATTTCAATACAAGAAGTGAGTTAATATGGGGAGAAAAAAAATAAGCTCAATGTGGAGCAATTTTGGTGGTAAATAACCAGATGCTTTAGCAGAAAACACACTCCTGAGACATTACCTTGTAATGCATGTGCAGTCCTATGATCTGGGCCAGGAAAGATCGGGTGAAGTGAGCGCGGGCCAACTGCTTGTAGGCCCCGCCAAGAGAGGACTCACAGAGGCACTTGCCCACCAGCAGCCCTGCAAACTCATACATCTTTAGCCGCAGATGGGCGGGGTGGTTCGGGTTGGGATGCACCTGCCAAAGAAAGAGACTCAAAGATGCTGGGGCATTTTCTTTCAGGTCTAATCCTGGAAAGACCCTTCTTCTCTACCCCATTCTAAGGGAGAAAGAAGTTTAGAGTGGGGATCAGAGAGTCCATCTGAGTGGTATTAGCCAGCTGGCAGCTATCCTTTAATCATTCAAAGTGATCGGAGGATGAAGGACAAAGATGGACTTGTAGTTAGTTGGAGAATCTTACATTAAGTTTTTAGAGACAAACACTAATATGTGGTGCCTAGCTAAGTATGAATGATACTCAGCAGATGATCCAGTATCTTTTCTCTATATCAGAGCTTTACTCAGTCAAGATCTAGACCAGAAAACAATTATTTCTGGAATATTTTGAGAAAGTGGCATAGTTATAATCATTATTCTTATAATTAGTAGACTATCTATTGCATTTTAATATTTTTCAGTAAAAAACTATTGATCTGTCTCTATTTTTCTCTGACACCACAGATGAAAATGTAAAGGCAGAGAGAAGTAAGGGAACAGTGCTCCCAGAACAGTACTATAACTTTGAATCCATGCCATCCTACGCGTAACCTGATCGCGATTTCTCACTCATCCACAGTGAAGTCACAGACTTACCAATGCTTGGTTGTTAACATGGAATCGAGTGAAGAGCTGACTGGTGGTATCAAACAGTGCCTTGCAGACCAGTTTGAACCACTCCTGGCGAGATCCTCCCCAGTCGAGGGCTGAGAAGTGGAATAATAAAGATAGAAATTAACACTGGCCAACTCCTCTGAGCACTTTTGTTCTTTTTACTCTCCCTTCATCCCATCACATTATTTCCCCATCCTAATGCAACTAAAATGTGGGCACTCTGTTCATATTTATTTAACTTTTGCATAGGAACATACACAACAGACCATACACCCATTCAATAATTTTTCTACATGCAACTCAACAATGTTGGTTGAGCTACACCCATTTACTCTGTGTTGCCATTCTTGCCAAGGTTTCACCATCACCGACTTAGAATCAGTGCCCTCTAAACTATTCATCTATGTGTCAGAACTGCTATTGTCCATTTGATCCAACCGATATTAATTCTTTACAAGAGGGTAATACTCGGTCCAAATATTGTTTAATTTGAAGATGACTTGAAAAGATAATTTCCGTTTAAGGCCCCAAAATTTTCCCAGGGCACTACATTTAAGTGCTAAAATGGCTTTTAATTTTTTTTAAGTTCCACTACTTTCTATGGGACTAAAGGAAACATGGAGAACAGAGACCCCGGGAAACAGACCCTTCTTGGTTGGCTCTGCATAGGCAGGTCTGCCTTTGGTTTGAAAATCGTAGAGCTTCTTGTCTGAGACCTTCTGCATCTGCATGCTAACAGTACCACCAAGCCATCTGGCTGGTAAAGATCATCTCATTTTGTTTGACTCATGCTTTCGTTTTCCCTTGGAAAAGAGAGTATTTCCCCCACTCCACACCCAATAGTAGAGAAGGAGGTGAGATAGAGATTAAAAGCAGAGAGGTGAGAGAGGGAAGAGAGTCTTAAAAAACCAAAATGTGAACATGTAATTTCAAAACTAACCTTTCCTTTTAAAAAATATTAAATTGATTATATTATTTATTCTTTAAATTTTAGGGGGTTGTTTAAAGCCATAGGTTCAAAATAATATCTTGGTATGTAGTATCACAATTGTTGTTGTTGTTGTTATGTGCCGTTGAGTCGTTTTCGACTCATAGCGACCCTATGCACAACAGCCCTAAACCCTGCTCTATCCTGCGCCAACCGCACTGCCTGACACACCGATCCCGATTACCCCAGTCACC